GTGGGAGACGCAGTCGTAGTCGCAGTAGTAATACTCTAGTCACAGTCGCAGCCGTAGTCGTAGTGGGAGCGTCGTAGTACTCCTAGTAGTAGTAGTAGTAGTAGTAGTAGTAGTAGCAGTAGTAGGTAGTAGTAGAACCAGGGTTTCTCATTTCGAAGGTGGGACGTGATGCCCGGAGCACGCGGCTTCTAATGGACATGACCGAGGGGTTACACCAGACTTCCAATATGAAGGTCAAGATGGACTTCGATTGAGTATGCAGTGCGCCCGCATTCCCATTCACACGTTTATGCAAATATCGAAATATACACAGCACTGAAATGTGCATGGTTGTATGCATGCCTGCACGCATACATACCTGTGTAGGTAGGAAGGCAGGTAGGCAGGTAGGTATGTACATAGGTTGGTATGTGTGTTATGTATGTATGTATGTATGTATGTATGTATGTATGTATGTATGTATGTATGTATGTATGTATCTATGTATGTATGTATGTATGTATGTATGTACGTATGTATGTGCGTATGTAAGTACGCATGTACGTATGTATGCATGCATGTTGTATGTGTATACATGTCTGTATGTGTGAGTGTGTGTGTTTGTTTGTGTGCCGGTGTACGTGGTGCCCATGGCATGCTGCATCATGCTCCTCGGAAGACGACTTTCAACACCAAGGCGTGAAGCAGGAGGAGGTGCTTCGGCTGTCGCAACCTCAGGACAGTTTGGGGTTTGCATAGGCTCTGAGTTTAGGCTTCGGGCTATACTGTAATCTGCTGTTGCAGGTCTAGGAATATAATACAGTAGGGGGCCCCCCTCCCACCCGTATGTATGCCATGTAGAGGTCGACGCAAGAGCATCCAGATCTGGCGTGGGCCTGAAGTACATGTGGATTTCGGAGTGCAGAGACTTATGCTTATCTTCAAAGAGCTTGGCTTGGATTTGAAGAATTGGGGGGTCTATGGATAGGACTCGTTCAAATTGGTGCAATACCTGCGGCAGGACAGGCTATATATCCCTAACCCTCCAGGTACCTACTATATAGGGCCCTATAGGGGCTCCAGTACCCTATATAGTAGGTACCTGGGGGGTTAGGGTATTATCAGTTTCCCAACTTCACCCTGAGTTCTGCAGCTTAGGATCTGGATGCTACAGCTAGCACCTACGCCTTCTGTGACGGCCAGGAGGTCACCTTCAGCACTGAGGCAGGAATCCTGTAAAATTTGCATGCCCCCGATGCTGCATCTGGAGCTTGACAACGCCACTTAAAAAACAACTCTGTTCTGCTTAATATCTTGTCCAGAATCCCAAGGTCCAAAGGGCCCCATTGAAACCCTCAACCCCTGTACCCATGGAGACACCAGGCTCTGGAAGAGCAGGCGTCTGCCACCTTCGTGGCCGATGCCCCGGTTGCAATATGGGCTGCTATTCCTTAGCACTGACCTTAGACCTTAGGGCTCCTTTTTATATTTGTTGTGGTTGGATTCTGATAAAGGAAACTCCGAAACCCCATAAATGCTTGACAACCCTTAGTCTGTAACTCCAGAATGGGTCCTTCGGGCCATCTGTTGAATGGGGTCCCACTTAATCCCTTGCTGCACGGCCCGCCAGCAGCAATCCCTGAAATCAGAGTGCATGTGTTCCCGCCGCGGTGGTCTACAGTTGGGGTCTATAGGCTTTATATATGCGGCATGACAGCACGCATAGGCCTTGCACATCGGTCTGCACTCGATGCCTCGCCTGTTGCTCCACTTCTGCGATGCCTGAGGCATCACAGAAGTCCCAGGTGGCAAAGGATCCACCTCCGGCCTCGCCAAGCCAGGGTGCGCGGCGTGTCTTGTGGATGAACTGCACGGGCTTACGGTATAGGGCTTAGGGTAAAACTTAGTTTGCTTCGGAGAGGTGCGGTAGTCATGCAGTTTGAGTTCCGCTCTCCTGCCCGTTCGGTTGTACTTCTGCCAGAAGAGATTCATCCAGCGGAGGCGATTGTCAATGCACAGACTAAGCACGATCAACTCGGTTGCAACCGCCAGATGCAAAGAAGCGCCCCGCCTGTCGTGTGCTCAGTGCTCCTACATGCGCTCATACTACAATGCCTCAGGCAAGCAGCCGTAAACCTAGAAAAGTACCGGTAGCACACGTCGACGGTCTGCTGGCTGCTGGCACAAATGCTTGTGACTTGTTGTTGGCTTTGTTCTTCTACTGCCGAACTCGATCAAGGTGTTTTTGGCATTCACGTATAGGTTGGGGTGCTGCTCGGCTGGCGATTCACCGTCAGGTTCTTGCAACAACAGTTAGGCTTGTCGGCGAAATCACGATGACCTGATTGGGGCGATTGCCTTCAATTCAGACGGAATGTAGATCAAAAAGTAGGAGGGCGTCCACGATCTCGGTGCCTGATTTGTATGACGGATGCTTGTCGGACCAATCCAGTATCCATCTAGTCTCCTTGAGGCTTGCTAGGTCGCTTTTCCTGCCCGCTTCCGCTTGCAAGGCCCATCCTCACAGGTCAGCGCGTGCGACCCAGCCTTGTCATGTGGATCATCCGTTCATTCAGGGTCTGGGTGCACTAATCAGAAATACACCCGCCTTCAGACTTTGAAGCCAGTGCCACGCCGCAGGTCGCAGCGAAAAACACGCAGACGTCGAAGCTGGAATCACAGTCACTGGTTGCCGCATCCCAGGCGTGGAGAGCCCGTGTGTCTGTCGGGGAACATGTGAGTGACCGACAATCCTACCAGCCTTTTCGTGCAGCAGAGATGTGCGCCAGGCGAAGCCTAAGGCCAAGGCCAAAGCAAAAGCCAAGGCTAAGGCTAAGGCCAAGGCCAAGGCCAAGGCCAAGGCCAAGGCCAAGGCCAAGGCCAAATCGAAGGCCGGGTTGGCAGAGGACGGCATGTCCATCAGAATCGGACGCGCGACCTCGAGCTGCAGCAGTTTTTGCCTTGACCCGGAGACCCCTAAACCCCTAAACCCTAAACCCCTAAAACCCAACTCACCAGTGAAGGCCGCTGCCCCGAAGGCGAAGGCCAAGGCAAAGGCAAAGGCAAAGGCCAAAGCCAAGGCCGGCGGGTGCCAATCACTACGAATAGTCGTGTTTTCTATTATTTTGTTTTATTATTCTTATTGTTATTATTTCATTTTGAGTGGAATTTAGAGCAATTATTTGCTGGTGCCATCTTGATATTCTTTGCAATCTTGGCAAGCTTGGTCATGTCGCCCTACTTGCCCCACTTGCTCGCCGACTCGTCTACATTTTGGAGACCAAGATTGCTGGCAATCTTGCTTCCCCACTTGCCCCACTTGTCCGCCGACTAGTTTACCTTTTGGAGACCAAGATTGCAAGACTGCTCGGCAAATTTTCTCCCCCATTGCAATCTTGGTCTAAACGGTAAACTAGTTGGCGAGACCAAGATTGCAAGAATTGCTTGGCAATCTTGCTCCAGTCATTGATCTAAATTCCCGGCACGCTGCCTTATTTCTACCACTAGCATTAGTATCATTGTTGTTATTGTGATGATTATTGTCATTATTGTTGTTACTATTCTTATTGTTCTTCTTCTGATGCTTGCTAGTATTAGATTCAGATGTGTGTGTTCTTGCGTAGTGTTTTTGTGTAATTTCTTGGGTTCTTGAAAACACCTAGGATCTGCTTCGGGAAGTAGGGAGGACTCAGATATCAGACTGAATCCGAAGCCACGGGTCGCCCTACTCGGAATGTGAACCTTGAGCTGCAAAATTTATACTCCAAACCCTTAAACCCTAAACCCAGCCTCTAGCGTGACGGACTTGAGTGGATCCTCGCCTGCCTTGTGCGAGAGTGAGAGTCGAAACCCAGCCTCAGGCAAAAGCCGAAGTTGGGAACTCGGTTTTCCTCGCAAGGTCAGAGAATCGCGGAATCTGCAGATTTGAGAGTTCGTGCTTCAGTCTTAGATACTAGATGTATGTCTCTCCTTGTACCGATGAGCAATTGCGTGGACACACACAAAGCAAGATATAAAACGAGAGAGAGAGAGAGAGCGTGGAAACATGGTGTGGTTCGAGTGTGTGTGTGTGTGTGTAGGCATGTGCAAATGCACTCAACAATTCCATGGATACACTCGTACATACATGCGCACGTACATACATTATAAATACATGCGCACATACATGGATACGTATGCAAGCATGCATGCATGCATGTAGGTAAGTCGGCAGGTAGGCAGTCAGGCAGGTAGGTAGGTAGGTAGGTAGGTAGGTAGGTAGGTATGGTGGAAGCATTCTTTAGTCTGTGTTCGTTCGTGTTTGTATACCCATATTCTGCATGTATGCATGCATGTGCCGATCTATGCCGAAGTGTATGGGTGTTGGTGTACATGTGTGCAGTTAGCATAGTATAGCATGGTATGGTATAGTGTATAGTATCTAGTCTTGCTCGGTATAGTACAGTATCGTATAGTCCAGTTGTGGCAACATTCATAGTAAGGTATAGTGAAGTACGATATGGGATTGAAAAATACACAGTATAGCAGGGTAAGATATACTTGAGTTTAGTTCAGAATGGTATATATGGTGTAGTATAATAAAGGATATCAAAGTAGACTATAGTTCAGCATGGTATAGTATAGTACGTATATTTTGAAGGCTGTACATCTACATGCAGGTTCTATGAGATGCACCCGCATATGTTATGTTATGTGTATATACAGGCACGGATACATGATAGTCACAGTTGCCGTTGGACTGAGGGCGGCAGTTGGTTCGCGAGTCGCATTCGACTCTGCATGTCTCTTTAGTGTTGAGACTTACATTTCATTCTGAAAGTTGCTCTTGGAAAGAGAGCACCAATATGCCCTAAACCCTAAACCCCCAAACTATGAATCCTCGCTTGGCTTGTCCGAGTTGTGAGAGTGTAAGCCCCTAAACTAGACCCAAAACCCCTAAACCCTAAACCCTAAAAGCCCTAAACCCTAAACCCCTAAAAGAGCTTGCATCTAGAGCCAGGTGACTGAAAGGAGCTCTGAGGCCCAAATGTGTTGACTGCAAGTGGGGATGAGCGGCATAGACCCCACCTGCACATTCCACATGTACCATTCTGCTCCGGTTATATCATTGCAGCTTGATCAGGTAGGTTTTGGTACAGGTTATACTGTAGAGTTCTCAGTTCAGCTCGGGCTGCCCAGGGCAACGGACAAGTCGTACTTATGAAGGCCACGCCAAAAGCCCACACCTCAGCATCGCACCTGGGCTCAGGTTCAGTTAGTTGGTTTTTAGTTTTCTCGGCAGGCTTGTGGCGCACCCTATGTATCCAAGGCGATCAGAGAACGCTCAAGCACAGCAGCCATAATTTTGCTTTTGTTTGGCAAGCTGGGCTTTGGAAAATTTTGGATGAACTTCTGTGGAAACACATGACGATCACATGCACGCGCGCGCATGCACTTGTCAGTTGGTACGGTCTCACGAACTACCCCACTAGATGGTTGTGACGGTATTGCTCAAGCTCTTCTTTGAGGCACCTTTTCATTCATGACGTATGGCCACGAAAGAAGGGTTTATGGCCCGAAACCATCACGTGCACAAATTTATCGTGCCGGGCAGTACGTACCAATGTAGTCATTCGCCGGGCTAATGCTTCGTTAAGCGTCTGTCTACATATATATATATATATGGGTATATATACTTATTTTCATTTATTCATCTGACTAAAGGCTAGGTACCCCTATGCTCCTCTGCTCGGAGGTCAAGGCCAAGTCGAAGGCATTGATGGATGGAAGCTTTTGTCTCGGCTTCCGATGATTCTGAGCACGGCTTTTGCAGAACTGCGACGACCGCGAGGGCTTTGAGATGCACTTGCAGTTGAAGCGTTTAGGTCTCCGGCATCGGCTGCTCTGCTTAGTAAGAGGAACCTCCGCAAGCCACCCTCTAAGAGCTCCATGTCACAACATATGCAAAGCGAACAGGTCGATGTCGTGTCAGGTCAAAGTGGCGCCCTGGTCAAATGCGAACCACTCGATGAGTGCTCTTCTCGGTGGGTGGGCTCTTCTTGCTTGTGCGGTTTTTGCACGGTCCTAAGAGCAGGTGTGCAAGTACTGTTCAAGACATCTGTATTGTCAGTCTTCAGCAACTCAACTGGTGATAGCAGGCAGAACAGCAGCAAAACCACATAGACTATGACCCTTTGACGGCCCTTGATGGCGAGATTCGAGGCCTGAGGACGGCAGCAAGCTGCCGGGGCGCAGTGTCGGTGAGCCTCTTCCTCAAACACCTGAGAGTCTGAGGGTTCCGGGTGCTTGGCTTAGGGCTCTTCGGACACAGAGGTTCGGAATCCTTGGGGTTTCTCAGGGGGACAGTAGTGTATGCGTAGAGCTTGATTAGGTTGTTGTTGTCTTACTCGTATCATCTAAAGTGCAACCCCCGGTGCCATCCTTTGTCTGCTTGCTCATCCCGCGCCTTCTTTTTAGGGTTGCATTTCGGGTCAGAAGGGGTTAGAGTGGATGCTCTCAGGGGTTTCGTAGCATGCTTGCAGCCAGCCGAAAATGAATCTGCAAGTCCCCCTCGCCCCTCCGGATCCGCCGTAAGGCCGAACCTTCCTCGGAAGCAGATGTGCGCAAAGCCCTCAGCTTTGTTGAAAAGTATTTGGGCTGCGCGACCACGGTTTTGCGTTCAAGGATGAGGCTTTTCTTGAGGACTTGTGACTTTGGGCGTGAGGCGTGAGTGTCGGCACTATCATTCTTCCTGTCTAGTGTTTCGCCTCATTTGTCGTGATCCTTCAAACTGTGGCGATGCGAGACCTTAGGCTTCCACGGTGAGCTTTGGGCCAGCCAAAGGCTGGCGAGTCATTGCATGGCTTCGACCTTATCTGAGACGGGACTTGCTGAAGAAGAGATTTTGGAGAGGAAGGATAGAGGGCAGAACATGTCAGAAACTCAGGGCAGCTTCTGCATGTAGGGCCGTAGGGCGTGCATTGAACAGCGCCACGTCCTTTCAGATGTCTGTGCGTTCAAGATCTTGCTTGCCAGGTTTGTGTTTGAAACTTCTGTACGGAGCCCCCAGGCTGAAGACGGTGAATACCGTCAAAGAAAGGGCGCACGATTCGGCTGGGCCCTCGGTAGGCTGCGGTAGCAATTGCACCTTATCTTGCATTCTTCCGCCGGTTCGATGGGAGACGATTCGTCTCTGCAGCAGACTCCGTTCATGTCGCGCAGATGACTGGGTAGTTCGCCCGGTGGTAGGCATGGTCTTGGCTGAAGCGATTGAAACCCCACACAGTTGGTTGCAAGCAAGGTCATTTGCTGGAAGTTTCTGTCTCCACAACGTGGGTCCCTGAGAATCCTCAGAAATGGAAGGCCTGGGCATGGGAATCAAAGGTTTGAGTTTTGTTCAATCAGAGAGTCCTCAATCTGGACAGAGCATTGAACCTTTGAGCGAAAGAGAGCGTTACGGCGACAGCAGAAATAGCCGAAAGCTTTTCGGCGCACTGAGGCACCAGGGCCTTCAACTCCTTTCAGTGCGAAGCTGAGCCTTGTTTGACGTAGCTCGTGCCGCTACAGAACATTTGAGAGATTCTGCAGCGATCGTCACATGGCTTGGAGGTACAAGTCGTGGTATAAAGATTGCAGTTCTTAGTGACTCTATGTATTAGATGCACTGCAAAACGACGAGGAATGGGGCGTGAACAAAGGAACCTAAAACCCCAGGATGCTGGTTAGTTGCTCCCGAAGAAGATCGGAGAGAAATCTTCCATCCACCCCAACCCAGAACTCTAATCCCCCTACACCGCAACACAGCTTCGCAGAGGTATCTGAAGAAGGGGGTTGGAGAAGGTGTGCCGAGAGCTCAGTCGCTGCAGAAGGCCAATGCCCTAGGGGGGAAGGCGCGGCAGAGACTCGTAAAGTGGATACCGACAACAGTAGCGTAGTAGTAGTAGTAGTAG